CTTTTTTAAAAAAAATAAATTCACATTAAAACACACATTTTTAACATTTATTTTTTTTTTCATCAAAACAACAATTATACAGACACATACATACACACATTTTTAAATTTATTTTTTTTCATCAAACAATAACACACACACACATACATACACACATTTTTAACATTTATTTTTTTCATCAAAACAACAATTACACAGACACATACATACACACATTTTTAAATTTATTTTTTTTCATCAAACAATAACACACACACACACATACATACACACATTTTTAAATTCATTTTTTTCATCAAACAATAACACACACACACACACACACACACACACACACACATACATACACACAGTTTTAACATTTATTTTTTTATCAAATAACAATAACAACACATACATACATACACTTAATGTGGATGAAAAATGTACATCTGATTGTCATAAGTGTGTGCAAATTGTTCAATATAATGTCTATAATGAGTCCAATTTCCTTGGGCTAGTCCACATGCAATCTTGTAAGGAAAAGCATAAGTCTGGTAAGGTAAACTTTCCCAAATTTCTTGTGAACAAGTTCGAAACCATTGCTCTCTGTTTTGTGCTGTATCCTGATAAGTGGAAATTCTTTTAGGTCTGTGACTTGCTTTTCCATAATCCCATTGAGCTAGTAAACAAATGACCACAGGGGATTGTGAGGGAAACACCTTAATAGTGCCTGGAATTCCTCTATCTTCTTCTAAAGCTAAATTTCTAGTCCCTAGAGGTCTGCGGGTGGCATAGAGATTGGCTTGTGGGAATTTCTCTGCAATACTTTGACTCAATCCATGAGCTTTTGAGTGGATCATGATCTATAAAGTAAATACGAATGATTTTCAAAGCAGTACGATTGTTTTCATGTAAAATTTTCTTTCATAAATCATTGGGTTTCTTAAAAAATCAGGGAATGTGTATGTCCTATGTTTTTCACACCCAAGTATCACTACAGTGTTCGATTTTGGTAAAAAAAAAAAACAAACCATCAAGACTTGTAAAGGATCTAAAAAGTAGATACGAATTGTTTTGAATCTCATAACATTTTATTTTTCTTAAAATATCAATCAGATAAAAGCTAGATTCCAAGAATCCTTATGTATCTCATGGTATGATTTTCTGAAAATCTGTGACCTCTGACCCCTCATTGTGTCTATAGGTAAACCTATTTGAGCTTGTTTTTTATCCTGATCATGATTCTTTTGAAATAAAAACTATATCGGCAGTCTTCCCTAGGTCCCTTTTCCCTAACCCACATGAATTTTCCTGGTCTCCCCCTCTAAAAAGACTGAAAAGGCTTATTTTATACACTCGGGTTACTGAATTTCACCTCATCGCTTCGAGGTTTTTTACTCATTTCTCCACGACGGATGCATGTCATGTATCCATTCTAGTATGAAAAGAAGCAGGAAACTTACCTTGTTTAGACCTGTATCATGCTGGAATCCTACTATGAACACCTACTAAATAATCCATGAAAATATATAGGTCCCAAAGCACAAATCACACACAATTTCAGTTCGCAATGAGATTTCGGCTCTCGCCATCCAGGTGCTCTCTTTAACGTCCGTGCTCTGTACATAAATACAGACGCTTGCCAGAGCTCAGCGTCATTCTGTTAGTAGCGGCTTATGGATCTTTTTACCGTACCCCGTCTCCACGACTTTTTTGCATTCCTTCACATCCTCAGGGTCTAGACCAGATCCTGGTCCTTGGGACTGTTTCTCCTGGTAAACACGATGACCCAGTTCTCCAGATTCACTGGGGTGATCCAGTGTCTTCTCTTCCTCCAGTTCCTGGCGCATTTGATGGCCTTTCCTCTCATATCCTGTCGCATCTGTTGGCCTTTCCTCTCATCTAAAACGGTTGGTGTTTCTATCCTTGGTGTGGTGAATTCGATCGAAATCAAAGTCCGAGATGTCTGCTGGATTATCTTCTCTCCTAAACTGTTGGTGTATATTTCCTTTGGTGTGGTGAATCCGATCGAAATCAAAGTTTGAGATGTCTGCTGGATTATCTTCTCTCCTAAACTGTTGTCGTTTCTATCCTCAGCCAGAACAGAAAAGTTCTCTTGATCCAGACATTGACAGAACATAGCATCACGGCCGTTTTTACGGCCACCCAATTGTTTCGAAAAGATGCCTACTTAAACGGCTAAAAGAGAAACGTATTGTGTGTGTCTTAGAAAGAAAAATCTTTTTTTTTCTAAAATACAGTCAAAGAAACGATTGTATCTTAAGAAAAAAGAGGATATTTTTTAATAGTTAAAAGAAAAGAAACGGTTGTTCAATAAGAGTACCTTTTTGTGGGTAAAAACAAGAAACATTGTGTTTCTCTCAAGTTATAACACCAGGTCACTTTTAAAAACTTATAATTTTGTTTAAACTTATAGTTTTGTTTAAACTTATAACTTTTTTAAACTTAAAAATTTTTAACTTTTTTAAAACTTTAAATTTTTTTTAATAATAATAATAATAATTCCCCTCTTTTTGAAAAATAAATTCACATTAAAACACACATTTTTATTTTTTTTTTTCATCAAACAATAACACATACTATACACATACACTTAATGTGAATGAAGAATGTACACCTATTTTGTCATAAGTGTGGGGTATATTCAATATTTTTTTTTAAATATTCAGGTAAATCTACAATCTCTTGGAACTAATTCTCTGTTTCTCACTTCAGATTTAAGAACCCCATATTCTTCATAGTCACCTTGTCTATAAAAGGTTCTTTCCAATTCTGGGGTACTGTGAGACATATCAAAACAAGTTAACCCATGAATCTTTTTGTACATGTATCTCTCATGACAGCTGTATTTCATTTGAATGAATCCTCTCACATGATGAAGTTTTCCAGTTTCTGGATGCCTTTCTTTTTGTAAGATCAAGTATTGATAATCACTTCTAATGATTTGATCTACATCTTCCTGTCTGCACCCAGTTAAATCAAATATCCAATTTTTGGCTATTCTAAATCTGTCTATTTTTAACTGAGCAATATAAAGATTACCTGTATTTTCTTTATGTTTGTTTTGATAATGAGTTTTAATATCTTCCAAGAGTTGAGTTTGAATTTCTTTCATTATTTGTGGACTCTTCTCCTCTGTGGGTTTAAAATCCAGTGTCTTTATCAATCTTTTTTCTGACATTTTTTTTTCTTATCATCTATAAACTTGGCTTCTTCTCTAGTCAAAGGTCTTTCAGGGTAATCCAGGTTACCCTCACCCTCTATGGGTAATAAAGGGTTATATTCCTCATTGACTTCTTCTGTAATCAAGGGTCTTTCTATGTAATCTCTCGCATCATTAGGATCACTCTTTTCTGGACATAATTGGTTATATTCTTCTTGAGAAATGATCTCAATAGCCCCATCATCATGTAATTGAATTGGTATACCTCTGTCTACATCTTTCTCTAAAAGAACTCTCTGGCCAAACTGAATTTTACTCATTCCTTTACTCTTTTTGCTTCCTAAAGGTGTTACCCATTGTTGAGACAACAACAACAGTACTGAAAGTTTTTAATTTCACACCTTGAATTTATACTTTTCTGTGAAACTATCATGGGAAAAAAAAAACCCAAATATTAAAGGGAATTTAAGAGTGATTTTTAAAATATTTGTGATATGTATGTATATTTTGCATAAAATCCCATCCTAGTCTAAGTCCCAAAAACATGGTCATGACACAGTTTCTGATATTAAATAGGTTTTTATTTTTCTGTTGTGTAAAAGAAAAAATTTTCACTTTTCTCATTATTTTTTTTTCTTCAGAAAACATGTTTTCTCAAACTCCATAACTCATTGAAAGCAAATGAGATAGATAACTATTACTTGTAAGGTACAAACGGTTTTCATTTTTTTTTTTTAAAATCCTTGTAGTTTTCTTTTTTCTAGCAAAGTTTAAATGTGATTTTAGATTATATGTAACTTTAATTTGTCTAAAAGTTAAAAATTCATATTTCATTTTTAACCATACAGAAAGATGAGGGATACCATTGATCACTATACCTTAAAAATGTCATTTAAATCATTTACATTTATTTACATTTCCTTCCCATTCTATACTGAATACCCAACTCCTGTTTTGTGTTTTGAAAAATAATCTATGGTTAAAGGGGGATAATCGACTTTTCAAAAAGGCTGTTTTTGTTAACAGACAAAAAATCAAATGGTTTTATTCAGGTTTAAAAAATTCATGGAATTTTTTCTCTGTTTTTTCTCTTTTTAATGTCATTTTTATCTTCTTACTTTTTTTTTCTCAATTCTTGGTAATACTATAAAATAAAATCTGCATGAGTATGAACTCTCATCATATCCCAACTGTTTTTCCTGCAAGGGTTTTTTTCCCACTTCATGTTTTGTTGTTGTTGTTTTTGTTTTTTCTCATAAACAAAAAAGACAAAGTTGAACATGAAAATCAAAACATGCACCATTTTTTAAAAATGATATATATATTATTTGGTAGAGTTAAAATAAATAATTTCCCTTCACTAATTAATGTCTCATCCCTCAAGCAAAAAAAAAAATATTAAACAATTAAAATGTTTTTTAATGTGAGTATAGATGCATCAGTATTTTTTTTTTTTATTTCCTGGAATGATAACTTTTGTACAGCTTAACAATTTTAAAGATCAGGTTTTTTTTTTCTATTCAGTGGTAATATACATGAATACTTTTTATTTTTTCAGAACTTTTAATTTATTGCAGGAAAAAAAATCTTCTCATTCCAAAAAAACTTCATAGATATTATATTAAACAGGCAATGATTTTTATGATTAGTCTTCAGATATAAACTATGAACATGTAGTATGAATTACTTCTGTTTTGCATTGGTAGGTTTGTCTTTTTCTGTATCTATGACCTCCAGTTAGTGTTGCACAGGGTTGTACAAATAGTATCTTTTGCAGTTTCTGATGAGCAAAATTCTCAACAAGTATGCCTATCTTCCAATATCAAGTCTTCTCTCTGAGATATACATGTTATGATTTTTTTTTTTAGTTTAAAATTTCAAAAGTCTAGGAAAAAAAAATCTGAAGAGATGTCACTGAGGTTTTCAATTATAAAACACCACTGGCTTCTTCTTCTGGTTCTGGACAATATGTAGAAGGCTGAGTATATGTTTCCTTGACTGATGAATAGAATGTGCTATCTGGAAAAAAGAAAAAAAAATGTTTTCTTTCAAACAATATTTTTTTTTTTAAATTCCAATGCTGAAAGGATGATTGCACAGCATGAAAATACCAATTCATTATCCCCATCTATAAATTTTACCTCTGATAAAATAAATTTTTCCTCTGGTAAAATTCCTTTATTTAACTTTCTCCAATTTAGCTTCTATACTCCAAAAATGGGGTGGTCAGGTTCAAACTTGGTATGGCCAGCTATTAATCATATGTTAATCATCTGTTTATGCAGACCTAAAATTGAACAATAATATATTTGAATTGTAGTGTTAATTATTATCATTATTATTTTTTTCATTGCTTGCAGAAAAAAAAAATAATAATCACTACTGTTAAAATATGATAATGTAAAGAACTGATATGAAAAGTTGGTCATATAGAATACCCTGTTAGTGTAGCAAAATCTATGTTTAAAAAAAAAACTGTAACATTTATCTTTTGCATTTGTAAAGACATATTTTTGTAAAGAATTTTTCATAACTTTGAAAAAGTAGTCTAATTGTATAATATGGTTAACTTAAAAATTTTGTAGACTTTAAAGTTGTACATGATGTGTTACACATCTTACATATGTAACCATTTCATTTCAGGGTATTCAGCATATATTATAGTTTTGTATTAAATTTGTTTGCTTATGTAATCAATAATTTGAGAATATTCAAATTAGGAAATATATGAGAGAATAAACAAGAAAATTAAACCTAATAAAATGTTTTTTACTACAAAGGGGTTTATCCATAAGTAAATTCAGTCTATACATTTAAGGTATTGTTTTATAAATAAACTTGCATTTAAGCATTTTAAGACAATTGGAAACATTACTTGAACCAGTTTTAAAAAATGATTAGATTCACTGTCAGCATGTTATTTCTTGTAAAATTAATGAGAAAACAATTTTATTTGAGTCAGTTTATTTTTTAATGTAAATAAGAAGCATTGAAAGTTGGTAATATTTCACAAAGTTGATTGAGCATAATTAATTTATACAAATTTTTTATACATAAGAGAATAGAATTGGAAAAATCTATGTATTAAAGAAAGCAAATTCTAGGGCTGTGTATTGAGCCAAAGTTTTCGATACGATACGATACAATATTTTTAAAAGTGATATGCGATATATTGGATTCTAAAAAAGTCTATCAGAAGTGGCTTCTAAATCATTTTAATGCATAAATTTTATAATAATTAAGTGTTTTATTACTCATTCTAAAGTTCTTGTCTCATTGTCTTTACAAATAACACTTCAAACTAAAACTTTTGATGACAGTAAAATCAACATGTTCAAATAAATTTCTCTGTGTATTTTGTAATGATTATAAAAACTGTGTTATTTCCTTACAAATCATTTAATTATTGAACAGTTTTAATTAAAAAAAAAAGTAAAATATAATCTTTGGTGATTGAAATTCCCATCTTTTTAACAAAATTAGAAGAAAACTGTCTCTCCGATACGTCTTTGAAGTTATTTTTCGATACGATAATTTTTTTGGAATATCGATACGTATCGATATATTGATACAGCCCTAGCAAATTCTACTAAAAAACAGATTTTTTGCAAAACAAGTTAATACATGTTCATTTAACTTTGCTATCTTGAACATTAATCTCAAAGTTCTGGATATCTCAGTACATCTAGAATCATTTTTTTTTTCTCCAAAAAATTAAATGCTACCTGTGATAACTCTTCATAAATAATCCATACCATAGAGCTGTGTTGTTTCTGTTCCTCAGTTAACCAAGCCTCAGTTATCCAAGTGAAATCACCTTCTTCACCCTAGTCATAGTACTTTAAATGCACCATGTAAACTATACACCTTCTCCCTTCCAATTTTTCTCCCCTTCATTTACCAATTAAAATGTCTTCTTTCCTGATATGATAATAAAGTACAAGAAATGGCTTGAAAATATTTTATTGACAGAAAGTCATCAAGTTAACTTTTGTCTTCTCTTATTGTCATAATTTTTTTTACTAAATAATATTTTTGTCAATGTTCAAATCTGTATCAGTATTTAAGTAATTACCAATGGTTATTTATTTCGCTGTATTCTAATTTAACATTTTTATCTATTAAAGACTGTTATTAACACCAATCAAAGTCTACATTCTCTTCACACATACAATATCGAAACAAAAAAAAAAACCTGAACATGATGAACTTTTGAAATCCTAGGAATCCTAAAGTAAAGTTAGCAGATCCAATGTACATGCTGGACATGATTGGTTTGTGTTGCTGGGCATAACTCCCAGGAATAATGGAACTTCCACAGACATACTGTTGATACCTAAAATTTTAGAGAAATATAACTACCCTATTATCTTAACTGTCTTTTGGTATAGCATTCCTCAAAAGAAATGAGTGTGTAACCTTCCTATGGAAGTACACTGCATAAGTAATTGTCCTGACCTGTTTGTGTTCTGACACTGGTTTCTCTCTATACACCTATGTAAAAGACATCTTTTTAAAATACATGGGTGGCCTTATTGATATTGAAAGTACCTTTTGTGAATGAAGATTCATGCGCCAGCCTCCAAAGTCTGTTTAAAACAGGAGAGAAGGTTCACAGCAATCCCCCATGCACTCATAAGCAGATCTCTGGGGGGAGACAGTAGACACACTCATGTAGTTTTCTTTCCCCTGTGATATAATGTCAAATATTTTAATGTAAAATTCAGAAATTCATCAGTAATTGGAGATAAAAAACTTTGCTATCTTTATGATATTGATTTTCCATTATCAGATTTATTTTTTATCCATTTTTAAAAAATATAAACATTTGAAATAATTATCTTAATAATAATGAAAATAAATTAAAATGATATCTCATTGAAAACTTTTTAGATTCAAGTTTTGTTTTTATCATAATTGATTCACTGTGTATTTTCCAAAGGAAGACCAGCAGCCAGCATGCTTCACTTCATAGAGAATGGATTATAGATGGTTAGGAACAAAACATATCTCTTCCAGGTTGAGGACTGTATAGAAAAATAAAAACCCATTTTTGTTATTAAATTACATGAGACAATACCTCTTATAAATGTAATGCAAAATAATATCTCTTATATATATGAATACCTATAAAGACAGATTTATTTAGGATCGACTTTAAATGATGACATGAATAGCAGGCCATACTTTCAGCACATGACAAAAACATTCTCTCAAATTACACAGAAATGGGTTATTTAGCTTAGCTGACATTAAACAAATAGGTGAGTGATAACATAATCACAATCATAAACAATGTGTAACAACTTGAAACGACCTACAGGGTGGATTACAAGCCTTTTTCACTGGGGTAAAAATCTTGGTCCGATACGTATTGGAAGTTATTTTTCGATACAATATTTTTTTTTTTTGAATATCAATACGTACCGATATATTGATACAGCCCTAGCAAATTCTACTAAAAACAGATTCTTTGCAAAACAAGTTAATACATGTTCATTTAACTTTGCTATCTTGAACATTAATCTCAAAGTCCTGGATATCTCAGTACATCTAGAATCATTTTTTTTTTCTCTCCAAAAAATTAAATGCTACCTGTGATAACTCTTCATAAATAATCCATACCATAGAGCTGTGTTGTTTCTGTTCCTCAGTTAACCAAGCCTCAGTTATCCAAGTGAAATCACCTTTAGCTTCTTCACCCTAGTCATAGTACTTTAAATGCACCATGTAAACTATACACCTTCTCCCTTCCAATTTTTCTCTCCTTCATTTACCAATTAAAATGTCTTCTTTCCTGATATGATAATAAAGTACAAGAAATGACTTGAAAATATTTTATTGACAGAAAGTCATCAAGTTAACTTTTGTCTTCTCTTATTGTCATAATTTTTTTTACTAAATAATATTTTTGTCAATGTTCAAATCTGTATCAGTATTTAAGTAATTACCAATGGTTATTTATTTCGCTGTATTCTAATTTAACATTTTTATCTTAAAAGACTGTTATTAACACCAATCAAAGTCTACATTCTCTTCACACATACAATATCGAAACAAAAAAAAAAACCTGAACATGATGAACTTTTGAAATCCTAGGAATCCTAAAGTAAAGTTAGCAGATCCAATGTACATGCTGGACATGATTGGTTTGTGTTGCTGGGCATAACTCCCAGGAATAATGGAACTTCCACAGACATACTGTTGATACCTAAAATTTTAGAGAAATATAACTACCCTATTATCTTAACTGTCTTTTGGTATAGCATTCCTCCAAAGATATGAGTGTGTAACCAACCTATGGAAGTACACTGCATAAGTGATTGTCCTGACCTGTTTGTGTTCTGACACTGGTTTCTCTCTATACACCTATGTAAAAGACATCTTTTTAAAATACATGGGTGGCCTTATTGATATTGAAAGTACCTTTTGTGAATGAAGATTCATGCGCCAGCCTCCAAAGTCTGTTTAAAACAGGAGAGAAGGTTCACTGCAATCCCCCATGCACTCATAAGCAGATCTCTGGGGGTCAGTAGAAACACTCAAGTGTTTTTTTTTTTTCTTTCCCCTGTGATATAATGTCAATATTTAATGGAAAAATTCAGAAATTCATCAGTAATTGGAGTCAAAACTTGCTATCTTTATAGTATTGATTTCCATTATCAGATTTATTTTTTATCCATTTTTAAAAAAATATAAAACATTTTAAATAATTATCTTAATGATAATAATTACATAAATTAAAATGATATCTCATTGAAAACTTTTTAGATTCAAGTTTTGTTTTTATCATAATTGATTCACTGTGTATTTTCCAAAGGAAGACCAGCAGCCAGCATGCTTCACTTCATAGAGAATGGATTATAGATGGTTAGGAACAAAACATATCTCTTCCAGGTTGAGGACTGTATAGAAAAATAAAAACCCATTTTTGTTATTAAATTACATGAGACAATACCTCTTATAAATGTAATGCAAAATAATATCTCTTATATATATGAATACCTATAAAGACAGATTTATTTAGGATCGACTTTAAATGATGAATAGCAGGCCATACTTTCAGCACATGACAAAAACATTCTCTCAAATTACACAGAAATGGGTTATTTAGCATAGCTGGCATTAAACAAATAGGTGAGTGATAACATAATCACAATCATAAACAATGTGTAACAACTTTAAACGACCTACAGGGTGGATTACAAGCCTTTTTCACTGGGGTAAAAATCTTGTCGAGATTCGCCATGGCGGCCTTATTTACATAGAAAATTAAGTCGTACTTGAACACATTCACTCAACATTGGAGAAGAGATTAATAAGAATTCTAGGAATTCGCCTTTTATTCTGCGTGAATATTTAAGATGAATAGAATGTGTTTAGTTTAAATATAGTTGGAATATGGGAAAGTCTATATGTGTGGTTTTTATTGAAATATATCAGTTTACATTTAAAAAAAAAATAAAGCACATTTTATTTTTTATGTTTTATTATTTTTTTGAATGATTTACAGTGTTTGTGTAATCTTCTTATTAATGTTTATCTAGAATTACTGCTTTTAATACAGTCAAATAAAATTTTCTGATGATGGAAATTTCAAACATTACCTGACCTATACATATTTAGAATTTCAATATCATACATTCTTGAATATCCATAAATATCAAAATATAATGATTCAGCATTAGCTATCATCTATACACTTGTTAACCTAAGGAACGCTCTTATCATAAGTTAAACGCATGAAATTCCTCATGCAGTTTTGAAGAATCTCTGTTATAAAGGATGCTAAAGACAAAAGACATATACATTTCCAAGTAGTCATAATTTTTAAAAACTATATATATATATATATATCCACATTTTAAATTGAGGAACATGTGATGAGCCCTTTTTTCCTTTATGACTCATGAAATTTCATGCAGATAGTGGCTATGATGTGTAAATAATCTTTTTATGAATGGAGGATGGTGTAAAGTTACTCTTACCCATCACCCCAAGGGTAGAGGGGAGGGAGGGGGTTGATTCCCTTTCTTTTGTCCAAGGAAAACCTGAATTTTAAAGTTTAAAAATAAATTATAAAATTGAATTCAATTGATAAAATTAATTTTTTTCTAAAAGTTTCTTTTTTAATTTGAACATTTAAATTTTTTTTTTCCTTTTGATTACCAGACTCTCATAGGTGAACTGCATAAAAGTGAATGCATTTTTTATGCCAAATTATTAATAATGGGATGATATATATATATATATATATATATATATATATATATATATATATATATATATATATATATATATATATATATATATATATATATATATATATATTTATATATATATATACACCTCACCCATACATAAACAGGAGTGAAACTGAAAAGCCATGCAGGTTTGCATTCTTAATCTTATTTTTGTTTACTATATGTTTGACTTGTACCACATGTGAGTTTTTTTTTGTCCAATTGAATAAATAAAAGTGTCTGTAACCACTAGCACAATCTCAATAAAAACAGCACTTTTAGAAAAACTTATGGCTTTTTTCCCAGTTGTATGTTAGACAGACTTATTTTCTTTGAACTGTGTTCATGTGAAATTGAATCATTTTGACCTTATACCTTAAAATTGAAGAAGTAAAAAAAATTATATCTGTTTAAATTAATGACCATGTTCAGTGAGATACTTTAGCAACAAAAAAAAGACCTGTGACCCTTCTATTTATAACAACCCTTTTTTAAAAAATTCAAAAAATTTTATTCAATGATTTACACTTCTATTTCTTCTTCTTCGTCTTCTGATGATCGGTCCTCAATCACTCGAGTCAACAAAAGTCCTTTGTTTTCCATCGACTCTTTAATCTGGGAAAAGGGGACACAAGACGAAAGACAACCTTTAAGCAATCGCTTAATGGTAGCTTAATGGTGACTTAATGGTGGCTTAAAGAAGTTAATTCCTTTAAGCCACCATTAAGTCACCATTAAGCTGCAACTTACAGGTGCTTAATGTCCAAACTTCATTAAGCTACCATTAAGCCACCATTAAGCTGAGCTTAATGGTGACTTAATGGTCAAATCTCATTTAACTTTTAAGCATCTTA